TAGTCCCCCCCCCCCCCCCATTGGCCTAGTCTTGAGTGGTTTTTCTTGTGGCCGTATCCATGTCTCTGCCTCACTTTCCCCTTTTGTCCTTAAACCCATGTGCCTTAGTTGAAATGGGCCATCTGGTGGCTTTGAGCTCTGCACAGCTGAGTATTGACGTTTCTTCCCAGCACATGAAACCTGTTTGGCCATTTTTACCTTATCTTCATCTTTAAGCATTTCTCCTCTGTGATTAGAAAGATGTTCTTCTGTGATGAGAAAGATATTCTTCTGCGATTAGAAAGATTTTGCTTCTGTGATTAGAAAGACATTCCCTCCCCCTCTTTGTGTGGGTAAAGAAGCCAAATCCATTTACTGTGATTGAAAACTGCAGTCTTGATGTTCTTTGGGGCTTCTAAGAAGTGAATCTCTTTGGCCGCTTCTCGTGTGGAAGGCTTGTTTGTAGTTTTGTCAAGTTAATTTCTCCAGTGGTTCCAGTGGCTCCCACGGTTAGAGTGTCTGTCTGTGACCCCTTGTTACTAATCTCTGAAGAGTGGAACCATCGAGAGCACACCACGGAGGTCCCCAGGTGCCTCTGAGATCACCCCCACCCTCTCCTTTCTCAGCCTGAGTCTGGGCACTCCTACATAGATGGACTTTTGAGAAGTTAGTGGGAGGTGCTCTATCTTGTCCTGAGCCTGTGGGCCTCAGTGCTTCCATTATCTCATGAGTGGGAAAGTCCGAGATGATAAGGGAATATTTAAGATAGCGCTGCTTAGACTTTCAACACAAAGACTGAACTGGAGAAAGCAAAATTGAATGCCCAATCTAGCCTTACCTTATGGGATGGTTCTCTGACGCCTCCTGATTTTTCCTTGGGAGATCTTGGAGGCCTCTTTCCTTTCCACTCAGTGCACACCTACCTCTGCTTCAGTATAAAACTGACACCCACACACCCCCCAACCTAGATCTCCTTGGGTAAAATAACGACCCCAGTAGGATAGACTCGGGTCCTTTGCATGGCTGTAGAGTTTCTTGGAAAGGTCCCCATTCTGGTTTCAGAATCAAGGACTCCTGTGAGTATAGAATTGGAGTTTCTGTGGTTGTATAGTTTGTGGCTTTGTGTATTCCTTTTAGCCGTCTTCACCACACTGACCCTTTAGGTCTGGAGGTCAGCAGCTATTGAGAATCTGGTTGAATACTTATAACAAAATGTCATCCTGTGGACATAGTTCAATACTAAAACCCACTGTTCACCAGGTTTTTAGTAGATACAGAGGCATTGACACTTCATAAACTGGGAAGCATGCTTAAACTCTTGCTTTTCCTCAATTATGACCAAGTTAAGGGGAGCTGAGTTGTCTAGGCATGTCTCTGTATATTAAATCTGCAGATACAGTCCCATGCCAGCTGTAAGAGGTTACAAATGTGTTACTACAGCTGTTGCTCTATGAGGCATTGCTGGGAATGGCAGGCATGTAGGGGGGAAGGCAGAAATGGGGAGCGTGTGTGTGTGTGTGTGTGTGTGTGTGTGTGTGTGCTATGGTTTGAGTGTGGTCATCGGAGCTCACAGGTGAGAAATATAATCACGAGTGCAACCGTGTGAGGCAAGGCTCATTAGGAAACAATTAGTTCTCGAAGGCCCTGTGCTCATGAATGGATTGGTGCCAGTGCCGGGGAGGTGAGTTCATTATGGCAGGAGTGGGGTTGTCATAAAAGTGAGTGTAACCCTCCCTTGCTTGCTCACTCTCGCCTTTCCTTGCCCTTCCCTGTTCTGCCTTCTGCCATGGGTGACGTAGCACAAATTCTGGCTCCATGCTCCCAAATTCCAGAACTATGAGCCAAATAATCTTCCGTTTGTTTTAAGTCGCTTGGGGTCAGGCATCTTGTCACAGTAGTCAAACAAACAAACAAAACAAAAAAACATACAAATAACACAGAGAGAGACTAAAATGGTTAAGATTTCCTTCATAAATTTCAGATTTGGAGGTTGGCTCCGTCAGGTCCCTAGAAGAAGCAAGAACTTATTCTTGCTTTATCTCATGCTCCTGGGTTTCTATTGAGGTTTGACTTCCTTAGAATTTCCTCTAGAATTCCCCCAAAGTCCAGTGATTTGTACAGATCTTCTCTGCGACTCACCAGCCACGTCCCTTGTCATAGTGAAGAGTCTAGAAGGCCAAAAGGATAGGCCCACTAGAGACCTGACCATCACACTTGCCTCTCGGTCATGCTTCAGGTTCTAGAGAACCCTGGAATTCTTTCCCCAACTGTCTGGACTCCAATTCCATGGCTGCCATAGGCTGTCCTGAGTTGCCTTGGGGGACGCCGCTGTCAATATGCTTGCCTTGGGGGCCTGGGCAGGGTTGTATAGAAGGGAATTTACCCACATGTATAGATTAGGGGGTCAAATTGTGCATATGTTCAGAGCCCCTCATAATGTGGAAAGAGCTGGCTGGAGAGAGGGTTTGGGAGTAACTAGATACAGTAGAGACCACTGTTAGGCCTGCTCCAGGAAGATCCCACTATAGGGCTGGTACAGCCTGTTTTTGCACACTGAGTCCCAGGACACGTTTCCTCCGGCAGCAGTTAGGAGTTTCCTCTGCTGTTGACCCACACAATGTGTGGCCTCAATACATCTATCTGACAGAGCTTGTGCCTAGCTAGCTTCTGTCCTGGAAGGCGAGATTCCCAGGGTGGGGGAATTCCTCAGGAAGAGGAAGAGAATTCAAGTTCGTGGGAAATTTCTCATTCATAAGAAAGTATCTAATACATTCGGTGTGGCCACTTACAGGAAAAATGCCCTCTTCAGGCCTGCACTTGCCTTGCGGAACATGCCAGGGCCCACAGCTGCCACTTTTCTTGTGCCTGCTTTGCACAAAGGAGATCTTGTAGAATGAGAGAAAGTCCCCTTCCCTTCTGACCCCTGGGATGAGGGACGGCACACTCCCACGTGCTGCTAGCTCATCTGTCCTTCACCGCTCTTGTCCTGGCCACTCGCCTTCTTGGAAAGGGACTTTTGCTGGGAATCGGAACTGGTCATACTGATTCTTGTACTTATTTTCTATTTTTCATAATTTAGTTCACATTTCTGCTTCAGAGTCTGAGTCCAGCACTGTGTTTTAAAGGCCGCATCTGTTGCTGTCATAGAATACTGGACCCGGGTCATCTGTAAACAATAGTTTATGTAGGTTAAAGGGCCAGGTGGCGGCGTCTGCTGGGGGCCCCGTGACACCTCCTAGCATGGCAGATACAGGCAAAGACAAGTGGGTGCTTGTGGAGGAGACCGAGTAAGAGACGGACTGCTTCTGTCACAGCCTGCTCATGGAGACTTCAAAGATGGCGGGTCGGGGGGATTCCTTCCTCTCTCCTTTCTTCTACTAATATCTATCGTACACCTGGCATGAGGAAGTTGTGAAGGATGGGGCCCTCCTCACAGGAATATGGGGGGACAGTCTGTCCTGTCTTTCTCCCATCTCGAGTAGAGAAGTCTCATCGCTGGGGCGCTAGCTGGGCTGCCTCAGCTCTCCGGGCCCCTGTGTGTTGTGCCATGGAGAGGCTGTGTGACTGGTCCCTGACTGTGGAGAAGGGTGGGGGGGTAATCTTTGAGGGCCCAAGGTCAGTTTCTGATGAGAGTCAGTTCAAAGCTGTTCAAGCCCCTTGGCTGCTGCTGAAGAGAAGCATGGGGGGGGGGGTAGAATGGTACACATCCTTAGGACCAGCGCCAAGATAGCAGCTGTGAAGGAAGAGCAGGTTGACATCATCCCCGGAGTCAAGATAGATGGGGTGACGTGAGCTAGAGATGAAAGGGTCCCTTGCCTGGAGAAATAAGGGGGAGCCATAGGCTTGGGCAGTGTCTTTCAGCAGTAGTGCTATCTTGATTGCGCTGCTGGCGTTTCAGTCATGGGAAGGAAGTGGGGAGAGCGCGCGTGCGTGCGTGCGTGCGTGCGTGCGTGCGTGCGTGCGTGTGTGTGTGTGTGTGTGTGTGTGTGTGTGTGAAGACGGCACAGGCATACAGAGGGAGGTGAGGAGTGGAACAGGTCGGAGTGAATGGGTAAGCATCTTTGCAGAAGGTCCCTAGATTTACCCAATTGTCCGTCTTTCCCTGCCCCCTTCTGCTGCGTTGACGAGCTTCCCGGTAATACTTTCTCCATGGATCCCATCAACTATAGTCCTTTTTGAGGCTCCAAGGGATTAGGGCGCAGAAGCCTCTGGCTGGAACAGGAAGACCTTGAGTGTGCTCTTTGATTTCGTGCCGTAACAGGACCCATGATAAGGTGCCACCGTGCCTCTGACCGCTGAACGGGGTGCCGTGTTCCATCACCTCCTAAGGCGTGACTAATAGGTTGGGATTTCATGTATTTAGTCTATGCAAATGTTTAGCATCAATCTGGTCGGTCTGTGCCAGTGGTGGACTTTAAAAGGTCCCACTACCTTTTTATAGGCACAAGGAAATGACTCAGAGGTGAAAAAAAAAAAAAAACAACAAAAAATAAGACTCCAAGATACTAGAGGAAACTGCAGAGTTGAATAATGAGCCGTGTGATACTAGAAAGGCAATCGCGAACAGCTTTGGGGGAATTATTTTAAATTCTGTAATATGGTGGGTAGGCATTTGAATGTGATTGGTTTAAGGGAAAAATACATTTTTTTTAAAGCTATTGCACCTGCTCTTTAAAGGGACTTTTCCTTTTTTTTTTTTCCCTCCAGGCATGTGGCAAGTCTTTTAGCCCTGTTTTCCATCAGTACTGAGGGATTTTTTTTTTTTTTTACCAATTTCTGAGTCCCTCTGACTGGTAGGATGCACGGTGCATACATTTAATCCTTCGTGTGTCTAGCTCCGTATTCCTGACTCCTTTGACTTGTTTTCCTAAAAGCATTCTGTCCTAGAGGGCCTCGGGACACAGACTTTTTGACTTTTTCATGAGGATGTAATACCTTTAGGCTTGTCTTGGTTTGTGGGTGGCTGTGGGGCTCTTTCCACCTACCTGTCCATTCAATATACCTGCGTTCCTCTTCTCTAGGTAGACACGCCCCTTAAAGATGCTCACTTCCTCCTGAGAAGCAGGACCACTCATATAGGAAGCAGCCTTCTTCAAGGTAACAACAGGCTGGGTCGCCGCAGAATCCGTTTGTCTTTTCTTCTAAGCAATGGAAACCTCTGCCCTCAGCTGTAGGCAGTCTTGAGACAGCTCCCCCTGTATGCAAAAAAATGTTTGCTGGCACATTTTTCTTGGGGGACAGTGTGTGTCTTTATCAGATAAATTCTTATTTTTGTTTTTATATGGCTGCACAACATTTGAATACAGGGAGGCGATAAGGAAGGTACTGAAGGACACAGTGTTTGGCGGAATAAGACGAGGACCATGGGATTTCACACATGTGTAGAAGGAAGTTCAAACAGTTGATGGCAGAGAAGACAAGACGGGGCAGTGGGTGCCGGAGGCTGGGGAGGGGAGAAGGGAAGGCTAGAGGGAGGTGCTGTCAGGTTTTTGAGGGAGTCTATGGTCCTGCTGCCCTCTAGCTATGTGGTCATTGCTGACTATCTTCCTCAGCATCCAATTGAAGTGAGTTCCCAGGGTGGGTGGGTGGTGGGGGAGCAGAGCCCTCTGAGAAGTTCGGGGCCTCTTTCATCCCACCCTCAAATCTCAGTTGGAAAGAACATGTCTGGCCTCTTCCCCAGGGGCCCAGGGCTGGTTGGTGCAGGAAGCCTATTCCAGTCAAGTCAGAGCAGTCCCTGTCTCAACCCCGCCCACCTACCTGTGATGTCATCCTCCTCGCCCCCCTCCCCAGGGAATCTGGCCACTAGCTACTCTCAGCCTCTCTTCCCAGCCCATTCCCCCTGCTGCTCATCTGGGCCTCCAAGAAGTCTGTTCTCCACATTGTTCCTCTTGTCTCCAACTTATTTTACACACCGTGGTTAAAGCATCTGTAGAAAAATCAAAACCTAGCCAAACCCCACTCCTTTGTGTAAAATCTTTAAGAGCCTTTCTGCCATCTGCAAATGAAAGGCCAGCCCCTTTGTGCACCCCTTGTTGTAGCCACCTGCAGCCCCACCTTTCCTGATGTACTTCTTGGCACCTGTCTTCAGAGTATGTTCCAGAATGGAGACATTTCTTAATATCCTCCTTCCCGCCCACAGGCAAGTTGGGGCCCCATCCTCCCTCACCCTTGTGTGGGGGGTGGGTATCATCCTGCAGGTACAAATGATCTGCTGGGATGAATAGGGATGCACTCACTTCCCCTGTGGCCCCCCAACTCCACCAGCTCATCTGTGGGCCGTTATTCCCATTTCTATGTCCAGAACCAAGTGTGGACATGGGCTTCTGTAAACAATTGTTCAGCAGGGCAGTGGGTGGAAAAGATGTCAATGGACACTGAAGATCTATCAGAACTTGTCATTGCAGTGTGGTGCTCGTGAGAATGGCAGAGGGGACCTTGGCTACCCTTGGTTTCCAGGTGGCCGCTCCTTTCATCCTCATCAGGGCCCTCAGTGACAGATACTGTTATCAGCTCTGATGGTCACATAGGGCACTGACCACAGGAGTTGAGCTTATCCAGCCTGCCACCTCTGTGGGGAAGCTTGACTTGGACAGTCTTTCAACTGCTGGCCCTGGAGTTTGTCTAGTCTAGGTCATCTCTGCCTTGGGGCTTACATCGCTGTTGGTGGATGTCAGGGGTCAGTGCTGATTTGGGGCGGTGTCTGTTTGCTTGTTTGGTGTTTTGCTTTGCCTGTTTGTTTTAGAGGGACAGTTGCTCTGGGTCATTCAGCTTGACTGCAGACTCATGACTTGCCTGGTGGTGGGATTATGGGCAGGGGACATCACACCCAACTTTTGTTGGTTTTTCTTGGGATCACAGTTGGTCCCATCTCAGGTGCTGGTTTATAGTCCTCCCTTCGTTGGTACCCAATCCATTTTGGTGTGGAACCTCCACCCCTAGGTTCTGCTGACAGATAAGGACTCAGACAAGCTACTGCTGAGGGCAAACAGTTTTCCTACACCCGGCTTCGGTGTTTATTTTTCCCTAGAGCAGGGTAGGGGCGGATGGAAAACTTGTCCCCCTGTTTCTCTGCCACTTAATAAATAAATCACTGGGGAAGAAACTGGTCTTAGGTCATTGGGCCTGGACTTGAAATAGTTAAGGATTGTTCATCTGCAGTTATCCTAGAATTCCAACTTGCGAGCCACACACTATAAAAAGGCAGCCTGGCATATTTTTCTTTTTCTGCCTAATAATCAGACAAGCCCGAACTCGTCCATGAGTGAACTGGCAACCAGCAGCGTCCACGTGATTTATTTATGAATACGCTTGTTGACCCTAAGCTGACTGAGTCAAGAGCCAGAACTCGGTACCGGGGAGCCGGTCAACCCTTTCTTTCCTAAGACTTGACTTGACACACACTTCCACATGCTCCCAGAAGGAGGGAAGAAGCCGGGCCACAAGCTTCAAGGCCTCCTCTCTTATGTCATCATCTGAGTCTAGTGTAGAGTAGATACAGCAATAGCACTGTTAACTGACATTGTGGTAGATGACCAGTTTTCGTGGTGAAGGATTGGAGTTACAGGCTGCATCAGGAATGTTGTCTTACTGCTCTAGGGTAAATCTCAAAGCTTAAGCCGGGCCCAAGAATCAACATCCTGATGCTGGGGTTACAGTACCAAGAACTGAGTGGGTGTGTCTGCTAGGTTCAGCTAAAACCCGCCCCTCATCAACCTTTGTTTAACAAGTGTGTCATAATGTTTGTATACTTTCTAATGTAATTCCTCACGTAGAACATTTTCCAGTTAATCTTTAAGTCAGATGGCTAGTCTCCAGGAGTGTCATCTTAGTTAAAGGACTTTGTGCTTCACCCTTACTTACAGCCACAGGTAAGAATATAGACATTTAGTGTCTCGTATAATTAAGGGCAGGTTTTTGTTGCTGTTGTTGTTGTTTTGTTTTTCCCAGCCAAGAATTTCATAGTGTGTTCTGGACACTGCTCAGTGTTGCATTGAGGAATCAGCTGTTTATTTTGCTCATTCTTTTCTCATTCATTCCTTGAGACTTTATTAAGGACTTCTGGGTTTCAAGTACAGTGTTCTGTGCTTTGGGGACAGAGATGAGCAAGCCATGTTCCTGCCTTCAGGAGGCTCCCCATCCTAGGTTAAGTGGAAGATTATATTCAGGGCATAGCAGGCATGCAGGTTGCTGGGAAGGCCCAGAGAAGCCAAGTAGGAGCTCTGGGATGTTCCTCACCCTAGGGTGCGGAGATCTGGTGGAGTAAGAGTGAGTGAGTTAAAGGGTAGAGGAAGCAGTTAAGTATAAGGCTAAGAGGCTGGGGTGCATGGGAAAGGCTGCTGTGGGGTGATCTGGAGGAGGGAAGGATGTTTGGTAGAGCAAAAAGAGCCAGAACAGAGTAGCCTTATGCTTGGTATTCTTCTCCATGTACCGGGAGCCTAGGGGAGTTATTGAGTAGTTGATAGGATTCAAAAATATAAATCCATGGGGAGAGAGACAAATAAAAAGCCTGGTGTTATAATAAACCAGGCAGGGGCTTGAGCATGACAGGAGTTAGGGGTAAACTGGGGTGTTGTGATGAAGAACACCAACTGTCATGTCTGGGGCGAGAGTGTCCTGGGGGCAGCTGCTTCATGATCACAGACCTCGGGTCCCTTTTAAGGGCATGCCCAGTAGGTTTGGATCCCTGTATGGCTGTCAGCTAGGTGGGAAGTTCCAGTAGAGGGTAAATTGGCCGGGCATGAACACTTGCTGTATTATTGGGATTGGGGTTCTCAGGGGCCCCTGAGTGAATTCATGTAAAAGCTCAATGGAGACATAAGACTGGAGCTTAACTGAATCTCATCATGAGGCACCTGTTGAGGAGAATGAAATGAGCAGAACAGGGGTACTATGGTGCGTGTTTATTTCCTTTGGGACTTGAGAGGTAGCAGGCAAAACTGCGAGTCTGGTGTTTTTTCTTTTTATTAATTTGATATTTGTTTTAGGGACTTTGTTTTGTATATGAGGTGCCAGGCATGCCCTGAAGTAGGCTAAGCAAATACTTGCTCTGGTTACACTTCCTGCCATACAGATGGACAAAGGGCCACACATTTAAAATAGCCAAGGTATGAAATCAGCCCAGGTGTCTGTCAACATGGGTAACACACATGTGCTACTTATACACAACAGAGCATCATTCAGTTATGAGAAAGAACCAAGTTACATAATTTTCAGAAAGATGGATAGAACAGGAGAAGGTCGTACTATCAGAAAGAAAGGCAAATGTGTTTTAATTTCATATGTAAAAACCTAGCAAAAACCCATATATGACATGGCAGGAGAAGGTGGGGTTTGAGGGGTAGATGGCATGGGAAGGAGACAGGTGAGGAGGTTAATAAAGGCTGCAAGGATCAACGTACATCATACACTTAATGAAAATATCGTGAAACTCAACACTTCGTAAAGTCAATACATAACAATATGAATTTTAAAAGGGGGGTAAGTCCTCAGGACCTCAGTTTAATATGGATGCTATCCCCATTGCTAACCGCTTTTGATGGTCCTGCTGGTGAGGCCTTCGGAGCCACTTACAGAAACAGTGGTGCTTTTTTTTTCACTGTGAAAAAATTCATACACGTTCATCATAGACCTTCTGGAAAGTATAAAAATCCCCAGTGAAGGGGAAATCCACCTAAACCACAAGAATAAATGCAGCTCTAATATGTTGATATGATTTATTTTAGTCATTTTTGGATACAACCCTATGTATTGTGTTATACAGGTAATTGATATGGGGTTTTCAATGAAGGCATGTCTTGGGTGTGGGAAATACCTTCTGGATGGAGACAACTGTACACAGGTAGAGGGAGCTACTTTGGGTTTAGGGAGTCCACTTACCTCTATCCCCACGGGAGACTGGTTCCACAAGAGCTGTGGATACTGAATGACGTAGATGCTCAAATCTTGTCTACATCCACCCCTGCACTTGGGGTAGTTAAGGTATATCATGAGAGGTCAGTTTCATGTCCACAGTTGTTCTCCTGTGTTCTAGGGACCGACAGCTTCCTAAAAGCCATGCATCTTCAGCACAGAAGCACAGCCTTTCAAGTTATGCAACATGGCTGTTGGTTGGATCTGTAGACGTAGCTCCCATGGGTGTAGAGATCTGGCCGTCGTCTATGTTGGTTGAAAGATGTATTCTGAGGGGATTCAAGTGGAATAGAAGATGAAAACGTATTTTAGAAATGTATTTGGGGAAAGATGCTGGAAATGCTTTCGAGCTGAATTTGTCCCCAATTCTGTCACACACACACACACACTCACACACACACACACACACACACCCCTTAACTTTCTAATTAGAAGTCTAACATAACTTGGAGTGGTGAGGAAGGCTTTTCCATGGGACCTGGGGGTAGTGGGTGAGGGCAGGTGGAGGTCAGGAAACCGAGAGCTTTTCCGGGTTACTAACATCCCGCCCTCCTTCCCTTCTTCTGTTTCCCCAGGAGAATATGAGAGTGCTACTTGGGCTCCTTTGTGTCATCGCCCCTCTGCTGTCGCTGGAGACCGGTGAGTCTGCTGTCTCCTCTACGCTGGTCATCTCCAGGCTGGGACGAGGGAGAATGCACGGCCGCGTTCGTGTATCAGAGACATTTTCTTTCCCGTTTTCAGTTACACCTAGGATTCTCCTGGCCCCAGAACTGTCCATCTGAAAGTCCTTTTCCGTATTGTCGTCTCTCATTCTATGCCTAGTGTTTTGGGAAACCGAGGCCGGTGAGATTAAGAACCCCGGGGTCATGTCTCTAGATCTGCAGTAAGAGCTCCTGTCTGGGACTCTGGGTCTAGTCCAGGCCTCCCGTCACCTCAGTGCTCATGGGACCGTGTAAGGGCTGCTTACCCTGGAGTAGGTGTCGAACACCAATCATGGACCCATGGCTACTCCATCTGTATTCCCTTCCAGTTTCTTCATCGGCTCCTTTCCTTCTTCATTTCCTGCCGCAAACGCATTGAGCCTTTACAATGCCTCAGCTGGAAGGTGCTGAGATCGCTGCCGGGAATAATCTGTATGGAAGCAGCTGCTTACAGGCGACTTTCTTTCTGGGGGAGACAGGACAAAATCGCATACGCCATGCAGTGTTGTAGATAAGTTAGATGGAGACACTAGGAAAGCAAGCAATATTGGCGGGGGTGGGGGAGCTAAGTAAAAGGTTCAGTTTCCCATTCTGTATCTGGGCACAAAAATATCTCAACTGGAAGGTTGATTGTGAGTCCACCCTGAAGTAGGGACAAAAGCAGTTATGTAGATTCCAGGCTAAGGGGAGAAATGTCGTTGGCAACACGTGCAAAGGCCAAGAGGTTAAAAGCAGCTCGTGTGAGAGCTGAGAGACAGAATGAGGTCACTGAGTGTGGTCAGGAAAGATTGTATCAACAACTGAGGCTCTGGCTTCCTCCAGGGCAACCGACTGTCAAGCTTTCAGTGGTCAGAGAACTAGTACAAGTCTGACCAGAAATTTGGAGCCGAGTAGAGAAAGCGTCTCTGGGTGAGAGAATATAATAGGAACATGTCCAGTGCAGATGTGCTGAGGGAGATGCCCTCGGGGAGTTATTGAATTTTGCAGTTTAAAAGTTTGTGCATTGGGCTGGAGAGATGGCTCAGCGGTTAAGAGCATTGCCTGCTCTGCCAAAGGTCCTGAGTTCAATTCCCAGCAACCACATGGTGGCTCACAACCATCTGTAATGAGGTCTGGTGTCCTCTTCTGGCCTGCAGGCATACACACAGACAGAACATTGTATACATAATAAATAATTAAAAAAAAAGTTTGTGCATATATTGTTTCAGGGATGAGCACTCTGTATTGGATAACCAATAATGGGGTTCAGCCTTGGGTGAAGCAAAGTCCCCCCTGCTTCTAGCAGTCATTGGTTACTGTAGTTCTTTGTCTAGGGATAGAACCCCATGAAAATTTCCCCTTCCAAGTTAATATCTCCAGTGATGTTACTATTGTTTCAGTCTTGTGTATGCAGCTATTTCCAGGAGAAACTGTTTCATAGTTGACTTTCTGGTATTCTGGCTCTTAAAATCTTTCTGTCCCCTCTCCCTTGATGTTCCCCGAGCCATAGACGCATGAGCTGTGATATAGATGTCTCTTGAATAAATTGGGAGCATGGGGACCATGGGGTGGGTAGAAGGGGAGTGGAGAGGAAGGAAGGGGAGCAGAGAAGGATGTGTAGCTCAATAAAATCAATAAAAACAATTTGAAAGGCTCTCTGGCTACATAAGATTTTTTTTTTTGTTCACTGGTGTTAATCTGATCACTAGGCAGTTGGTGTGATTTTCTTTATCTTTTCTTTTTCGTTGTTTGATTTTAGGCAGGATTCCTCTGTGGAACAGCTCTGGCTGTCCTTGAACTCACTACCAGGCTAGCCTTTAACTCAGAGACCCACCTGCCTCTTCCTGCTGGGATTAAAGGTGCCACCACTCCCTGGCTCAAAGATTTATTTATTTATGTATTTTGTGTATATGAGTACTCTAACTGCATGTAGATCTGCAGGCCAGAAGAGGGCATCAGACCCCATTACAGATGGCTGTGAGCCACCCTGGGGTAGCGAGAAATTGAGCTCAGAACCTCTGGCAGAGCAGTCAGTGTTCTTAACCTCTGGCCACCTTTCCAGCTGTCTTGCCTTTTCTTAGAGTTCACTGTGTCTTGGGACCCAAGCTTATTTATCACATCTTGAGCAATTTCAGCCTGTATTTCCAATATGTTTTCTGTGTTCCCCACTCTTGCAGCAATTCATATTAGATGTTTTCTAGCTGCCCTAAGCTATCTTGATGCCCTGCTTGCTCACTCCCCCCCCCCCGCCTTGTTTAATCTTGAATGTTTTCTAATGTTATGCCTTCGGGTTTTCTTAATTATTTCCCCAGAATATTTTCAACTTGACGATGCATTTTTTTATTACTAGAAGTTTTTTTTTTCCTGAATTGTTTTATGCCTCTGTTCACTGTGTCTCATGTCTCTTTCAGCATCTTGAGTAACTAGGAGATAGAGTTAGGTCATGTCTTGAACAGTGTTGTTTCCTATGCTTGCCCATTTGTTAGCTGTTCACACGGGAGGCCATATTTAGTCTTTGCAGTTCTCCACTGCACAGAGTGAATGTCTCTCTCCCATTATTCCTCCCTTTAGATGAATAAGCAGAAAGTAAGAGGGGATAAGTCATTTGCCCAAGGTACAGCCCACAGGGACCACGTGGCGGAGCTGCAACTGAACATAAATGGTCTCCACCCCGAAGACTGCTCTTAACCACACAGCTGTGAACTGTAGATCTGGCAGGAGCTGGTATCTTGACTAACCAATGCGTTCAAATGTTGATATTGCATGAAGAAACACCGAGACTTTTTCTTATAGAAATTGCTTCCCTTTTTTTCTCTCTTAAAGATAACTGTAAAGAATATTCAGATGAGATCATTTTATTTTCATATGTAAATGAAATTGATATTCGTGATTGTCCTCTAATTCCGAATGAAAAGCGCGGCACCATAATGTGGTATAAAAATGACAGCAAGACACCCGTATCAGTAGAACAGAGCGCCAGGATTCATCAGCAGAATGAACGGCTTTGGTTTGCTCCTGCCAAGATGGAGGACTCGGGATATTACTATTGTATAGTGAGGTAAGGAAGGGATGTCCTAAGCCTCGATGACAGTTAAGGACAGAAAAATCACTTTAGTAATGATGAATTTTCATATCTTACTTTATTTTAGAAACTCAACTCACTGTCTCAAAACTAAAATAACCATGAAGGTTTTAGAGAAAGACCCTGGCTTGTGTTACAGCACGCAAGCCACCTTCAAACAGCGCCTCTACATCGCAGGGGATGGAAGTCTTGTGTGCCCTTATTTGGATTTTTTTAAAGATGAAAACAACCAGTTACCCAAAGTTCAGTGGTATAAGGTAATTTCACTTTAAGTATGATATTTTATTTTTAGACAGTTTTCTGCTTTGAACAGTGAAATGTGTCCACAAAAATCTTTGACATGTTCGTATACTGTTTCTGCTCTGTGGTGGTGTAACTTCACAGAGAAGCAAACAAAAACGTAAGCCTGTGTCTGTTGGTTTTTACAACTTATCTAAAATCTTTTTTTTTTAATATATATTTATTATGTATACAATATTCTGTCTGTGTGTATGTCTACAGGCCAGAAGAGGGCACCAGACCTCATTACAGATGGTTGTGAGCCACCATGTGGTTGCCGGGAATTGAACTCAGGACCTTCAGAAGAGCAGGCAATGCTCTTAACCGCTGAGCCATCTCTCCAGCCCCCCTAAAATCTTATAATTGTTTCTATCTGACTGAGTAAGATACAGTTTCAAGAAAGTAATAGAACTCAACACATTTGAGAAGATGGATTAGATGTTTAAGCCATTTAAGAGATGGTTTGTTTTTGTAGCAGATATTATTTTGTGTTTAATTAAAAACACTTATGTGCTGGGGCTGCAGAGATGCTCAGTGGTTAAGAGCTCGAACTGCTCTTTTGTAGGGCTGGAATTTGCTTCCCAGCATCCACAGAAGGCGGCTTGTAATTACCTGTAACTGCAGTCCCAGGGGATCTGGCACCCCCTTCTGGCTTGCACGGGCACCTGCACTCATATGCACAAACCCATCATTGCACATATACCTACTCATAATTAAAGACAACACAAAATTAAATCCTAAAAGACTAATTAAAAGTTAAATGTTCCGCACATAGCCTGTTAGTGTCTGTAGTCACGTAAACACGAGGGTGGGCACAACACACTTTGGTGGCTTTAATTTAGTAGCCTAGTGGGACTTTTACATGAAAGTCATCTTTTAGAGACTAGTGAATACAAAATAAATAATATCATTCTGGAATAGACCATGCTGTTGACAGATGTCAACAATATTGCTTCTGTTATGTCTTCTGTGAAATAAATTTGTCTTCACTTGTCTTCATGGCCTAGGTCTCTGGGCTTGAAATTTTGAAGTTGTAACTATTTTATTTGATTTATTTATTTATTTTTTTGCCCCAAATCAAGCAAGTCACTTTTTCAGATAGGAACTTGCCAAGGTGAAAAACTAAAGTTCCTGTTCCTGTTACACAGGGGAGTCCCTGACGTTTCCAAGGCTCCCATTTCTCTCTTCTTGTCTAGGATTGTAAACCACTGCCTCTTGACAGCGAAAATTTCGTCGGGGCCAAGAATAAACTAATGGTGAGGAACGTGGCTGAAGAGCATGGGGGGAACTACATTTGCCGCGTGTCCTACATGTACCTGGGGAAGGAGTATCCAGTCACCCGAGCGATAGAGTTCATCACGATAGGTGAGTCGTAGCTCTGACCCCACAGGGGTTTGTGTGCGGGACAGCTGGAAGACCGTCAGGTTGCCGTTACTTCATTGTTTACAGAGGAACTGAGTATTGGAATTGACTAGTGACTCACAAGACTGATTAGTCACGAGAACCAAGAGAGGGAAGAGAGGGTTTGTTTTTAGCTTACAGTTCAAGAGAGAATCCAGCTGGTCATGGTGAAGAAGGCATGGCAGCTGGAGTGTGAGGCTGGAAGAGAGAGAGAGAGGAGAGAGAGAGAGAGAGAGAGAGAGAGAGAAACTGTAAGTGGGTCAGGCTTAAGACCCACCTCCCAGTGACATCCTCTGTCCAGCTTTGCCTCATCTTCTAGAATCTTCCTGAATATGGATACAGTTGGGGATCAAACAAATGAGCCCATGGGGGACATTTCATCTTCAAAACACAACACAACACAACACAACGTCCTACGGTTTTAATTCCATTTTTGTTAGTAAATATTACATGAATATTTTCCATCCCTGCTTCAGATGCAATCCTACTTAGACCATCACGTTATGAGTTATGCCTTCCAAGGGGTTCTGTAACATTCTTAGATATCACAGAAGGAAGATCTTCCAGAGAGCTCAGGACTCCCTTTAGTGGGTTAATGTCACCATTTGTGAGCCTGTCCTGGGAGAATCTAACTGAACAGGAGTCACTGACATCAGGGAAAGGCATTTGCCTTGTGTGTATGAAGCTTTGGATTCAAATCCCAGTATAGCATAAGACAAACCCCAGAGTCCAGCAGAGTGGTCACTGGCACGAATGGGGTAGATCCTCCTAAGTCTGGAGATATTCCATATCCAGAACGCACGTTTTTATTAGCTCAATCACTACTTCTCTAAGTATGTGTCTAAGTATCTGTAACAAGATGGTGTGGCCTGAAAGGTGTTGGGAGGATTAGAGATGAGGCAGGCTCAGCCTGTAGTCATGTGCCTGCTGCATAGCAAGCCTTGCTACAATGGGTGGGCAGTACACAGGTGCAGAATAACTGCTCTTGATGTTTCCAGGTTGCCCAATCTTGTCATCCCCGTATAGCGCATTGATAACTATTTCACAGTAACACAAACCAAATTGCACTTACACAAGTTACTTGGGAATAGGCAGAATGTTGAACCTTTCTGTAAATGGCAGCTTCCAGTAATAGGAAGCTAACCTAACCAGGATGTTTTTGTGGGGAGGAGAGAAATCATCTCTGAGTGAGTATGCTGGGGGACAGTTGCGGCTCTCCCAGGCAAACCCGGAACAGGATCGACATACATATAGCTGTATCTTCCCGGTATTAAGGCATTGCTTTTTCAAAGACTGATTTCATTGAATACAAATGTATCCCTCACGTGGCCCTACAAGCATCAGCCGGATCTAACTTTCAGCGATCATGTATCGAGCACTTGCTGCCCTGTCTATAGGAAAGATGAAAGCCAACTTCCTGCCCTGTGCTTTTCGTTTCTCTGCCTGTGGAGGACTTCCGTCATTCTAGCCTGTTTCTAATTCTTCCTTCTCAGCCACGGATCAGCCCACAGAACTGATCTTGTAAAGAAGCAGGAGCTTAATCTTCAGAGCCTTTTGAAAGCCTTCTGTCTTATTTAAATCAATTCTGCCAAGTGGTTTGTCGCTCGCCAGTGGCTGCTTGGTTGGTACCACAGTAACCCAGCATTTCAGTCCCAGCACTGGCCACTTCTGCTCAAGGGGGTGCTTTTGTCCTAGCTACTGCCTTTCCTGCTTTGCAGGGAGAGGAGAACCCTCCAACTCCCAGGTTGTCCACATAGGTACTGTATAAAGAATAAATTCTTACTCATACTTTGTAGAGATATGTGTTATTATGCTCAGGTGTCCTTCTCTTTGTGTGTGTGTGTGTGTGTGTGTGTGTGTGTGTGTGCTTACATATATGTAAAAGTGCAGGTGTACCTGTATACACATGTATGGAGGCTTCGGGACCCCTGTATGGTTCACGTGTATGGAGTATATGGTCCAGCCAAGCTTCGGGTGTTCTGTTTGCTCATTTCTGGTGGTTCTCGTCTTCTCTCACCTACCTCCTGCTGCCCTTGATCTGTCTAGCTCAGTGCTGGCTGAGGGCCGGTACCACGTGGGGTTCTGTCTGGTGAAAAGCTGAGGAGCTCTGTGACCTTTCTCCTTGCAGGCGAGAGTAAGAGCGACAGGCCTGTGATCCTGAGCCCACGGAACGAGACGATGGAAGTAGACCCAGGTAAGCAGGCTCCAGGCCGGGTTTGACGAGACCACCATTCCAAACTCAAGGTGAAGATAACATGACCTTCACAACACACACAGCATAAGCCAGTTACCAGATACACCTATGGAGGGACAGTGGCACAAATCGTATATTCAAATGGCTTTAAAATGTTTTGAATTTATTTCTTAAATTTATCTTTGTTAAGTTTTTGCTTCTTATGGCAAAAATCTAGCCATATCCAATTTTCCCACCCTTGCTTTGCAATGGAGCCTTTCTGACTATGCAAATAGCAGCCACATGCTAAAGTTAAAATATCTAAGAATATAACATATAATTTATCTAATTGACACAGAATATTTTGTCATTGGAGCCAATCTTTTAGGCAGAAGGCTGAGATTATATATGCTAAAAACAATGAAAGTTATTCTAAAAAAGCGCTTTTCCAAGTTAGTCAGTTTTTTAAAAATATCACGAAGAAAGACCCATCTTGAGCAGCACAGCAATGGATTCCCCTTCCTGCCATATATGGAGCCAGTCTTTCACTCCTCCTGGGGAGAGAGCCGTGTTTAGCTAGGTGTGGTGGTGTGCACTGAAGAATAGTGAGCCTGAGGTTAGCCTCGATGACAAATGGGTTCTGTCTTAAAAACAACAGAAACAGAAAGAGGAGGGGGTGCTTGTGAGGGCCTGAGCTTGGGATGCAGCATTTGTGTAAAGACCTGGGGGTGGTCATGCACAACTCTAACCCCAGTGCTGGGGCAGCAGACACGGGTACAGACCTGTCTCTGGGTGGCCATCTCTAATCCCAGTTCTGGGGAAGCAGAGATGGGTAGAGACCTGTCCCTGGGTGGCCACCTATAATTCCAGTGCTGGGGAAGCAGAAATGGGTACAGACCTGTTGCTGGGTGACCACTTGTAACCCCAGTGCTGGGGCAGCAGACACGGGCACAGACCAGTCTCTGGGTGGCCATCTCTAATCCCAGTGCTGGGGAAGCAGAGATGGGTAGAGACCTGTCGCTGGATGGCCAGCCAGTCTAGAATTAATAGGTGAGCTTTACCCAGTGAAAAACCTGTCTGAAACAGTACGTGGGTACTATTCCTGAGGAAGTCCAAAATTGCTGTCCAGCATCCACACACGTGTGCCTGCACCCTTACATGCATAAACATGCGCACACACACACATCTATACATAGATACATCTGCACTCTTAACATGCACACACACACACACATACCCAGGAAGGAGGATGTGTATAAGTCTACATACTTATTCTTACTGAAGTAAAAAAACGAGAATTTATTCTATCATAAAGGCAACATAAATAGAGAAGAAACTTCCTGTCAACCAATGGTCTAAAATTAAATCCAACTACCTGGCTTAAAACTTTTTATTCAGTGTAGACCAGAAGATCGAGCACTACATCCTAGACAGCTTCGAGAACAAAAGGCAGTGGAATTCTCAAACACCCGAATATGTACCTCCGTCCTTTCCTGATTTGGTGGTAGAGAGGGTTTTTAGAAAGAAGTGAGTGAAGATAGATAAAATAAAAAAATAGCTCTTATAAATCTTGATCATGAGAAAACAAAAGGTCTAGGTCAAAGAGTTTTCATAAACAAAAATATCGACAGCTAGCCCTGAAAGTTTTCTGGGGAGTTCTTATGTCTATGAAGAGTGAGTGTCTTTGATTAAGGGAGAACAACTTGACACTTGTGAGTTTGTTCCGAGAAAGAGGCTAAATAATGGATCTGACGTGTGAGGAGCAGTGAGGGTCCAGTGAACACTAAGCTAGGAAAAATGTGTTCACCAGTAGTTCAAGAAGTGTAGATTGGGGTGCTGGAGAGATTCAGTGGTTACGAGTGCTGGCTGCTCATGTAGAGGACTTGGGTTCAATTCCCAGCACTCACTCACATGATGGCTCACAATGATCTCCAGTTCCAGGGGATCCAACACCCTCTTCTGGCCTCTGGAGGCACCAGGCACATATGTGGTGCACAGACATATATATGCAGACAAAACATGCATGCACATAAAATAAATAAAGCTAAAGAAAAACAATGCAGGTTGGCTAGGCTGTGATGAAGAGCCTTGTGTGGTGTGCTCCAGGCCTTCAGTTCCTGCTCTGAAGACACTCAGGGAAGAAAGAAAAATTAAATGAAAATTGAGTTTGATTTTTCTTCTTTCAGTGAGCAATGCTTGCTGAATGTCCCCTGTTTTCTGGGGGGTTTTATGTGGAATAATGGCTGTAGCGGCTGGAGGGGGAGTGGGCCAGTGCAGCCTTATTTGTTTGGAGTTTGGCATTGAAGGTGTATCTTCCCAGAAGGACTGGAAATGCAACAAGGCCATAGATTTCTGTATCAACACTGTAAGCACATCCTGCCTCCAGATTTTCATTCCAAGTAATACTTGCAGATAGGAGAAAACAGTGATATAAGCAGGGTGTTCCTTAACTATGAATCATAATAATCATAATAATGACACTTCAGAAATTCAGCAGTAACTATTTTGTTAGTGTATAGTTATATTATGAAATGCTAGGTAGTCTCATACCAACAGGAGGACTAATCACGGAGGCTGAAGTTTCCAGGCTACATTGATTACAGAGTGTTAGACAATAAGATCCCATTCACGTTCTTGCCGATGTGTGAGGAGAAAGACCAAGATGGAGCTATATAAAGTGACAAGCAGTGGCGTTCTCTGGGTGATGAGGATTAGGGAATTTTTCCTCTTTCATTTTGCTCCTCTACCCTTCAAATGTTTATCCAGGAGCCATTTACAAATAGACATAGAGTGTAATAAAGGCCAGTTAGTCTTTGGACTCAAAATACATTGCTTTTCAGAATCCAGGATACAGCTGATCTGCAATGTCACAGGCCAGGAATCGGATCTTGTCTACTGGAAGTGGAATGGATCAGCGATTGAAGACGATGATCCTCTCCTAGTAGAAGACTACCAGCTGTGAGTTTACCGGTCAATGTCAATATTAAATTCTGTGCCACAACTTGTTCTAGTTTTGAATCTAATACTGAGAGCTAGCTGGTGCTCAACTACTCCTAGCCTTCTGCTGACCACTTTGGGTTTTGCTAAGTCATCTAGATAATATTTGTGAGAACCTGTATTTTGTGGTTGTTGTTAAAAATACGTGTCACTGTACAAATTGCACACCAGCTCAAAGCTCTTTCCTTACATTCCGTTTTGTGCTGCGTTGCAGTAAGGTTCTCTTCATGTGTATTAAATCCTTTGGAAAGACTATGGAAGGAATCAGGAATCAGTCTCTGCTTCAATCTCCATGGGCTGGATGAAGATCTATTAACTCCTCCTTCCAGTCTCTTCATATGCCATGCCCTTTGTCATCTGCCCCAGTCCCGAACACCCATGGAGGACAGAATGTTTAAGGCTCCCCCCGACCCCCGTGTGTGTGTGTGTGTGTGTGTGTGTGTGTGTGTGTGTGTGTGTTCCTTTGCAAGCTGCTAATTTTAACTTGATTTCTTTGCTACTGGGTGTTCCTGACCTTGAGGTTATACAATTTCAGATTCGTCTTACCAATAGACTATTTGCGCATGATGGGAGGAGGGGATGTGGTTATTTGAGCTGTAATTTATGTCACAAATAAAGCAATTACCTGGACCCATAGGTCTTATTCCCTATTGACGGGAGCTTACCTACTCTAATTACTCCCCTTCTCTGTCTCTCTCTTTTTGAACAGCGTGCAACATCCTTCATCCAAAAGAAAGTATACACTCATTACAGTACTTAACATTTCAGCGGTCCGGAGCCACTTTTATAAGTATCCATTTACGTGTTTCGTCAGGAACACGAACATTATGGAGTCAGCATATGTCACATTAATATATCCAAGTAAGTAACAAGTGCTTACTTAACCTCACAGTTTGCACAGCCCAGTGGATTCTTCTGTGGTTTCCTTTGCCTGGAACGTTCCTCACCCCTTCTTCAGCGGCAGCTTCTCATCGTTTGTGCTTCTTGGCCTAAATTCTCTGTTCTGTTAGGAAACCTCCCACCCCCTTGCCTGGTCTGAGCCTGCCTCCCTGCCTCTGTTTTGGGCGTCACTGTGGAGACATCATGCATCCCGGTCACACGCGGAGGCCTCATGTATCGTGATCACATGTAGAGGCATCGTGCATCCCGGTCACACGCGGAGGCATCGTGCATCCCGGTCACAGCAGCTCTTCTCCATTTCTCTTAACATATTATTCTTTTCCCAGGACCAGTAGCTACCTGTATTGGGTTTCATAGTCATTACCTCATTAATTTTTTTAAAGCACAGGATCAAACAAGATGGTTATGCAGGGAAAGCCTAACTACCCTGTTTGTAACAAGGATGTCTGAAGGCACTGGTTTTCAAGAATTGGGATAGTCAAAACCCAGTGCTGAAAATATTGTTTAAATACTCCACAGTTTTTAAAACAGGGCTTAAAAGCCAGGGTATGTGCATAAACATAATTTAAACAAACAAACAAATAAATAAAGCAGAAAAGTAAAGCCTTTGAGGATTTAGATATTTTCTGGATGCTACCCATGCCCTGACAGCCAAGAGGCACTTCCTTTGTCTTTCCTCTTCCCAATTGTTCTCCACCCTCCTTCCTCTTAAGCTCCCTCTTCTCTCATCTCTCTCACCCACACTCCTTTTCTTTGGTGAACTATGAGAGAGACCACACGAATGTGGGAATGTGAAAGGCCGCTTCCTTTTTGTCCCTCATCTTTAGGATCTTCCTGTCAGATTCTCCTCCCTCAGTGAATCATGCGGGCTTTGTATGCTTTTGACCTGTCCTGTTGTGCTATAGTGAACTCTGTCTCTATGGTCCCCAAAAGGTTTTCTCTTACTGTGCATTATGCTTTAGGTGGAAACTTAAAACTTTAATTTTCTATGGACTTGAGCATCACTCGCTGCCCCCCTCATTAGTGTCCACTGACACAATGATAGTGGATGCTCGGCCACGGCTCTGGGTGTAAAGTGGTTCCCAAATGCATGCTCTTTGCAATAAACCTATTCAAATGGCCTTGACCAAAGTTAAGTTTTCATTCCTTTTGGTTCTAACGATTTTCTCCTCTTTTTTGTTGTAGCCCCTGATTTCAAGAATTACATCATTGGGACCTTTGTCATCTTAACAGCTATAATTATATCGTGTGTTTTCATTTATAAAATCTTCAAAGTTGACATTGTCCTTTGGTACAGGGATTCTTTCTCCCATTTTCTTCCCCCAAAAGGTATAATTTTATATCCCACTAAATGTTTCCACTGAAAAGTTAAAGATGACTCCTAGCATTTTTTACTGAAAGCTTTTAATGATGGTGTTGGCTTAGACACATTGATTCTTATTTAGTTTCATAACTGATACACCTTGATGCTAGTTACCACCCTAGCTTCCCTATTGGCAGGATACACAGGTGTTTAGAGCATCTGTCTGTAAGTTAGTTACCCGGAATTTATCATTAGGGCGTACTCTGTGCTGCATGTGCCCTGTGGATTCATGGTCCACAGTCAAATGAGAGAGAATTCTACACCTTTTTCTTTAATATTACAGAATCATATCAAACTAATGTAGAAAGAAGAATAAGTAGAATGTAGGCTTGAGATGCTTGGAGAATTGAGTAAGAAAAACGTGATAAAGGAACGGTTGCCTTGAGAGTATATAGGGGAGCATTAACTGCTATGTGAGGACCATTTTGTCATAAAACATAAGAAGAAAACATGTAAGACATGAGAATTTAAAAAGGTGTTATGGAGGAGGGGATGAAAGAAAGGGTCCTGAGGGTGAGTGTGATCTGGGTACCTTATACACATCTATGCACACATAAACATGTGTGAGAAGGCCTATCATTCCTTAAGATGTTTAAGGGGTAGTTATGAAAACAGAAATTACACAATGCTGCCCTATTGAATTTAAAGTGGCGTCAGATGTGTGGTATTGATCTTTTCTGTTAGGCGACTGTACCAAGCTGAAACGAACATTTGTGGCGTTGATTTTGTATCGAATCTTCTATTCCCCCCCATGGTTCTAAATACATTTCATTTCCCCCTTAGCTTCAGATGGAAAGATCTATGATGCCTATATTCTCTATCCCAAGACTGTCGGAGGGGGACCCTCCTCAAACTTAGACACTTTTGTGTTCAAGCTGTTGCCTGAGGTCTTGGAGGGTCAGTTTGGATACAAGCTGTTCATTTGTGGAAGAGACGACTATGCTGGGGAAGGTATGGAGATCCTTCTTGTGAACTTAGCTCCGAGTTCCAGTTCTTAGGCTTGGCTCCATTGGACGTATCTGAAGACTTTAAGGAATTTCTTTAAATTTTCTCTTAGCTTGTTGGGTCAGCGTTTAATTGATTTTTATTCTTTTGGAAAATTTAATAACTAGTTAGATCTAATAACTATGTTGCCAAGCCAGGAGTATTATAGTAATTATAGTAATTTAGTAAGCCATTTTCAAATTTTGGATTGAGGGTTTTCTGAGTTCCAAGAGCAGTGTCCATCATTTGTGGGCTAGTTCTTAAACCGGTCTGCAAAATGAAACTGTCTTTGGCTCTCAAGTAAGGCAAGGCAAAAGCAATGGGAGTCGTAGAACAGAGGTTACCAAGGACTTCCTGAGGGCTGGGTTCAGGAAAGAACGTCTAGACGGAAGCTAGACTGACCCCAATGTGCTCTGTGTCTTGCAGATATTTTCGAGGTTACTAATGAAAACGTAAAGAAAAGCAGGAGGCTGATGATCATTTTAGTGAGAGACATGGGCGGCTTCAGCTGGCTGGGCCACTCATCTGAAGAGCAAATCGCCATTTATAATGCTCTCACCCGGGAAGGAATTAAAGTTGTCCTGCTCGAGCTAGAGAGCATCCAAGACTATGAGAAAATGCCAGAATCTATTCAGTTCATTCAGCGGAAACACGGAGCCATTCGCTGGTCAGGGGACTTTAAAGAGGGACCACAGTCCGCAAAGTCCATGTTCTGGAAAAGCGTCCGATACCACATGCCAGCCCAACGGCAATCACCGCTGTCCAGACATCATTTACTAACCCCGGATCCTGCGCTGGACACTAACAGGAAACAGCAGGCAGAGACTCGCTTGCCTCTCGGCTAACGTGGCAGAAGTGGACCGAGAACACTGGGATCCCTCCTGTCATACGGTGCTGCAGCTAGGCTGTGCCTCCCAGGAACGTGTGCAGTCATGAAACACACTTATGTAGTCCCTTATCCCCAGGTCACCTGGCATCACACCGTTCAGGGAATAGGACTTGGCGACAATAGTGGGCTAGGTCAGTTGGGAGCGAGCACTGGGGAAACTCCGGAGCAATGGCTGCTCAGGGATGTTTCTCTGGGATGCTTGCTAACTGTGGAGGCAGTGAACCGGGGGGGGGGGGGGGGGGGGGNGGGGGGGGGGGAGTCAGCTTCAGGAGATGGCCACATCTGTGGGGGGGGGGGGGGGGGGGGAGTCAGCTTCAGGAGATGGCCACATCTGTGGGTGACTTAAGTAAATTCCGTGTAACCTTGCAGTTGGGACTGTGGTTATCTGAGAATACTTTGGGGATCATGGGCAAAGAAGTGGCTCCCGTAAGCCTCAATGTGGGTGAGGTTTACTGACACCCCCGCTCCCCCCTTAGAAGGCATAACTTCCTTGCCTTTTCCAGACATCTTGACCACCAAACTTAGTTTTCGAAGACTAAACTTTATTTATAGACCGTGAATACTGTCATTTCAATGAAGAAGGATTCCCTGGGTTCCCCCATGGCAGTCACCTCAGCTCTCCGCGGAAGAGGGTGAATTTTAAGTTGACCGTAGAAGGGAGCCACTCCCGAGGTTCTTCTGTTCGCAGGTCCACTCTGGAACGACTGTTGCACCATCCTTATTCTCTGTACTTTTGCTTGTGGCTTCTCTGGAGATGCAGCTCTGCAGCGCTTCCTCCCTGCACTCTGCTGCAAGTACAGCCTCATGCAGGAGACTCAGCTCCTACCTCACCTTCTGGGGGCTGCGGATGCTGAAGTCTGCACAGCCTTCCCACCCATCTTGTCCCCAGTCCCAGCCCTCTCCTGTCAAGCCTGCTCTCTACCACCCTTCCCTGGGACTGCAGCACTGCCTTTGGAGCCCTCGCCTCTGCCTTCGCCACACCCCATCTGTGCTGTGCCACCCACTTCGGGTGACTAGAATTCGCTCTTTCCTTTGCTTCACCTGACCAGGAATTTGCTAAAGTTCTAAGTTTGTTTCAGTGCTAAAATCCTCAAGTGCCTGATCTCTCCCTTACTCTAAGTCTTCGCCGCCAGCCCTCCTGTCACGCCAACAGTGTTGCCTGCTGGCGGTCACTTCAGAAGGTGGTTTCTTTGCAAGCAGGAATCAGACCTCTCTGAGAGTGTGGTCTGTCGCGAGAGTGTTCCCGCCCTTCGCTTTCGGCAACCGTGAACATATGGCATAGACTGGCCAAGACCTTTATTTTAAAATGTTCTTGGATAATCGCATTTAAATTTTGCAGTTATTCTAATTTTATATATAGGTCGGGGAAACTGACCTATTTAACAGAATTGCTCTTTTAACTCTCCTGGAACTAGGCCTTGAAGTTGAACTTTCTGGCTTCTGTCGCTGTGCTCCAGCTCTTTGATTTCAGATCCGTCACTGTCTGCTTCCCCTTCCTCAGTCCTCCTGGGAGAAGATGTGAGTGTTTTATAGGAAGCAACCGAGTCCGGGAATGTTTTTACAGAAGGAGCAAATGCGCTCCTTCTCAGTTATAGGGATTTACTAAGACCAGCTTTAGAATTTTCAGCCTGATGTTTTTCTTTCCCAGTACTGGTTCCCTAAAGGTCAACATTTCTTCTGTAACTAAAAATGAAAGCAAATTGGGTTTTGTGGTACAGAAGCTTTCTGTTTGTTTGTTTTTAACTCGATGACTGTCTTCAGAATAATTTGAATAGTTCTGGAAGATTGCAGAGCCAGGTTCACACGCCAAGAAGAAACCCAGTTTTAAGGATTGTATGAATGTGAGTACCCTTCTGTCTTTGATGTTTTTGAACATCTGCTAGGGGCGAGCACAAACATTATTTAAAGGGTGACTTCTCACTTACACAGAGGTAGACATAAGCAGATGGCTTGGGATTTTAACTCCCCACTTTTTACCTCTTTTCTCCTGGATCCAACTTGAGAGCACTGAATAGATGGATCACTAGATTGCTGGCTCAGAGAAAGAACGGTTGTCCCAGATGGCAGCCAGAAGTCTATCCTTTACCCATGATGCTTTAAAAGTTTAATTTTGCTGATAATTTTTTTTTTTTTTTTCTAAAAAAATGTATTGGCTTACATGTATATTATGAGTGAATTAGAGCCAATGGGAAACTGGGCCAGAAAGTATAAGGAGAGAGCAATAGCAGAGGACCACAGAGAGTGTGGCACCAAGAACTGGGGGTGGGGTAGGGGGTGGAGACAAGGATAAGCCTGGGCCAAGAAAGACCCTGAATTGGAGGTTGTGTCATTCCTGATCCACGGGGGAGAATGAAGATGTAACTTCCCATCCAGGCAGTGGGGGCTTCCTTTGACATCTCCCTTTTCCCCAGAAGTACCTGGCTTCAGCCATCTTTCATGCTTTCTCATGAAAGCATTATTCAGAGTTCACTGATGGCGTTTTTAAAAGGCCAACCAGGTGTTGCAGAAGTTTGCACATGCAACGATGTATTAATTACCAGTGTTTAAAACTGGTTTAGCAGAATGTATGGTTTTCTCTCTCCTGCCTTTTGAATTTCACTTATAATGAAAGGAAAAGTATTGAGCCATTTTAATGACATTTTTTTTTATCAATTCTATTTATACGGATCAATAATGAAGGTTTTTTTTTTATTAAAGGAAACTCAGTTTTATAATTCAGCAGATGCCAAGTATCTATCACAAACCACCAAATTTATGTACAGTGTGTATTATGGAACAACAGACTCAACTTGTTTCCCAATAAATTGTCAAACCCTCCGTTGAATACCATTGGAAATTCTGTTTCTCTGTGTGTCCTTTCTTCAGCATGCACGTCCCAAGGCCCGATACGAAGAACTCTGCCTTCTGCAGGATGTTTTTCTGGGGGTAGGGGAGTAGAGGTCTATGCTGGTTAGCTTCATGTCAGCCTGCCACAAGCTAGAGTCACAGGCAAGGAGGAAGCCTCAGTTGAGAAATTGCATCTATGACATCATAACGTCAAGCTGTAGGCCAGCCCGTAGAACCTTTTTTTAATTAGTGATGGATGGGGGAAACGCCCATACCATTGTGGGTGGTGCCACCCCTGGGCTGGAGGTCCTGGGTGCTGTAAGAAAGCCGTCTGAGCAAACCATGAGGAACAAGCCAGTAAGCAATAGCTCTCCGTGGCCTCTGCATCAACTCTAACCTCCAGGTTCTTCCCTCGTTTGAGTTCCTGTCCTGATTTCTTTAACGATGAACAGTGATGTGGAAGGATGAACCAAATAAACCCCTTCCTTCCAAGGTGGCTTGGCTCACGGTGTTTATCACAACATTGATAGCTCTAGGACAGGATCTAAGGTCACTGGTCAAACAGTCCCATAAGCCCCGATTTCCCTCATGTAGCCCCATCTGTTCCTTTGTTTATGGAGTGGATTAAGGGTGAGGTTGTTGTTCAGTAGTAGGCCAGTTGCCTAGCGTGCGGGAGCTTGATTCCCAACACAGCAATAGATTATCAGTAATCCAATGTAGCCCATATATTCTGCTACTGTTATCATTATTGTTATTATTATTGCCCCTTGACCCTTCATGCTTCGTGCAAACATCCGTGTGTTTTTCTCTCAGACAAGAGCAAGGCATCTAAAATGGATGCAGTACAGCTGCTTGACTTTAATGGTCAGAGAGTGTTCGTAGTTTCATTGAGTAAACGACTCAATAAAAAAAATTAAAATGTAGGAAAACAAAAATTTGCAATCTGGTATCTAGAGAACTTACTTTTCCTAAATTTCCCATCAAAAGAAACTAGTGTCCCAAAGTGCTTCTGTCCTTTGACCAATTAATATTTGTTTTAGCAATGTGTTAGGCCAGCTCTAGCACTGCTAACAAGGCATGTGGAACCCCTTTCCGTCAAATGGCATTCCCCGCTTACTTTGAACTAGCTTCTCTTGGAGTAGAGGTCTTTGGGATTACTTCTCCGTAAGGGTGCCGCCTATGTAAAAAGACCTGAGTTATGAATTCTTGACCATTTATAATTCTGAATGAGAACAGAGCACCCGGCTGCTTTGAACCTCCGTTTTGCTCGCTATGGTAAGACTTCATAGGCATCTAGGTCAGATCTGGAGCACCTCTGTCTGACTTCATTGGCATCTAGGTCACATGTGGAGCACCTCTGTCTGACTTCATTGGCATCTAGGTCACACGCGGAGCACTCCATCCAGTATCTGGGACGGGATCTTCAAATACACCTTCCTAATTTTATCAGCTAGTGAATGGTACATTGAAAAGGTTTCTCATGTGCAGAAAGGAATGATTACATAACAAGAACACATGGGAGTAGAAACCACATACAAAGAAACATACAAGATGGGGGGGAGGCACTTGGCAGTGTAATGATATTTATTTGATAAACAGAATCAAGGCCTCCCTGTGTGTAAGGAGGAGGAGGGTGTGTGTTTGTGTGCCCAAATCAGTTTTAGAGAAGGAAAACGTCCAGGAAATGGGTGACACTTTAAAGTGAGCACTAATCTTTCAAACAAAGGCTTACTCCTCTTACCCAGGCTGCTCGGGAGGTCTGCTGAGGAAGGCTTGGCAGACTCAAGGGTCTGATTCCTGTATATTCAGTCATCTTAAAGCTGAAGGTGAAACTCTCTGAGCTGTGGAGCTGTTAGACCTGTTAGGCCTGTATGACTAGACTCCTGGCTGGAAGACTCCTGCTCTGAGCTCAACCTGCTGGGAGCCATGTTTACTCAACCTTTTAAAGGACCTTTTACCTAGAAGTGATTGTGAGTGTCCTTTGGGCTTTGTTTCCTGGTCTAGGAAGTGTCTGGGGGCTTGGTTTTCTGTCACTCAGCATGTCTTGATAACACCCCTCAGACTTACCTGCTCACAGGGATTGTTTCCAGCTCACTTGGGACTCTGCCTCTGTTTTTCTGCCTGGCTCTTCCTCCTCCTCCTTCTCCACCCCCCCCCACTCTCTCTTAAGTCAGCCATCTTGCTTGCTCCCTGAGCCTAAGTAAGATGCAGCACCTGTTTACCTTGAGGGCTGGGGACAGTGACTGTCTCCCTTGAATACTTTTAATAGTTAATCAAAGTTCCCCATTCTGCTTGATTGCTTCTGAAGTCCTGTGTTTCCCTTACAATAAGATTCATGGGCTAATCTCCAGATGTTAAAATGAGTTGCCAAGGAACCAAAATGGCCAACCAACAAATGGTTAATAATGGAATAGCTAGATTTCAAAAAAGGGAACACAAATGGCCAATAAATACCTTTTAAAGTGCTCAACAGCCCTAGTCGTCAAAGAAATGCAAATTAAAACTGCTTTGAGATAGGATCTCACCTCAGTCAGAATGGCTTACATCAACAAATCTGAGACAAGGGTTGGAAAGAATATGAGAGGAAGGAACCTTATTCTCCACTTCTGGGAACACAAGGTAGTAGAGTCATGTCGGAAATCAGTTTGGAGGCTCCTAAGATCTATTTCATTCCAGGGCATCGGTCCAGAGAACTTTGTACCTTCCCATAGAGGTATTTGCACCCCCCCCCCCCAATGTTCATGGCTGCTCCGTTCACTATAGCAGGGAAACGGAGCCAACCTGGTTGTCCATCAACAGGTGGATGGATAATAAATACGTAGTTCACATTTTAAGAAAGGAACCCTACTCAGTTCTTGAGAAAAGTGAAGTCATGGGAAAATGCGTGAATTTAGATGCTTGTGTGTGTGTGTGTGTGTGTGACAGAGAGAGAGAGAGAGAGAGAGAGAGAGAGAGAGAGAGAGAGAGAGAGAGAGAGAGAGAGAGAGAGAGAAAGTGAGTTTTAGGGAAGGAGAAAATTACAGGAAACGTCGTCTCTCTCCTCTCCAGCAGCTAGGCAGCCAAGCCGCTCTCCACTTCTGCGGCTGGTCCTGTCGCTAGCTCCTCTTCCTGCGGGCAGCCAGCTGCCAGGCCGTTTTCAATGCCTGTCTAGCCTGATTGCTGCTCAGCTGTCTCTGCTGCTCTCTAATTCTTGTAACCGGCTCAGCCCGTTCTTAAGTTGGCAGGAAGAGACCACGGCAGGAGAACCCTTCCGTTGACATAGTGTTGCAACTGAAGGGCAGCAGGATGGCGTCTTCTCCCAGATACAAAGCGAGTCTGGTCAGAATGCTTAGCTAGAGAGAAAAGCGTTTTTTGTAGCAATCGCAGCCACACACAGGCATGGAGGTTCTTCAGACGCTGATCACAGTGATATCACCTGTACACATGTCATGGCAATCCCTCTACGAGGCCACCAGGTCACATGTTCCCTCTCTGGGTAGAAGAAGAAGATGCATTGTTCTTTAGAGTTCAATGATGCCCAAAGTAATGATAAATCAAGTACGATGATTTGGAATTGTCTGGCCAAGGCTGCACCGTCAGAAGTCAGCACACTCAGTAGAGATCTTAGGGTACTTCCTCAAGGCATTCAAGGAGAGTTCAAAATGGTCTGTGTGTCCTAAGTATAGTCAGGCTGGCTATGTGGCTTCAGTCCATTTCCTGAAGGCAGCCAGAGCAGCAAGGTTAGCAGGAGCAGATTAGGTAGTCAGATTGCCTCTTCCTAAATAGCTTTGCTCATCTACAAGCAACTCATCAGGAGTGTTTGCTATGTTGACAACAAGATCTTAAAGACTCTAGCATGAACACCAATAGTCATTTTTAACAGATTTCAATGACGTTTTAACAATGTTTAACACCCGCCCAGTGCCAAAGTGAACACTGGGCTTCCCTTAACCATCTCAGCATGATAAAATGTCCTGTATTCTTCTACTGATGTATTCTGACCATGCTGACCATAACCTCTGGAGCACGTTTTTGTCAGATGTCATTGGTTAAGTGTTCATGATAGGCATAGAGAAATCAGGTGGCATTATTGTGACTGGAAGGAGAAGGTTCCACCCTAGAATGTTTGTCTATTATCCGCAGACTCTCGTCCCATACCCAAGATAACAAAAACTGAGAGAGAAAAGTTATTAGCCAGCGGCCATAGTAATTCATTTTTTAATTGTATTTTTTTTCTTCTCTCATATATTCCATCCTGACCACAGTTTCCCCTTCCTCCTCTCCTCTCAGCCCCTCCCCAATAACCTCCCTTCTTGCCCCGTATCCACTTCTCTTCCTTTTCCCTTCAGAGATTAGTCAGCCTCCCAGGGATATCAACCAAACATGGCACGCAAGTTACATAAGATTAGGCACATACCTCATATCAAGGCTGAATGAGGCATTCCAGTAGGAGGAAAAGGGGCCCAAAAGCTGGCAAAAGAGACAAAGACAGCCCCCCACTCCCACTGTTAGGAGTCCCACAGGTACTCGAAACAACAAAACTATAACATATACACAGAGGACTTAGATCAAGCTCATATTGGCTCCCTGTTTGTTGCTTTAGTTTCTGTGAGACCCTATGAGTCCTGGTTAGTCTGTGGGTTATGTTCTCCTGGTGTCCTTGACCCCTCTGACTCCTACAATCCTTCCACAGGATTTCCGGAGTTTAACCTAATGTTTGGTTGTGGGTCTCTGCATTTCCTCCCATCTGGTGATGATTATGCTAGGCACCAGTCTATGTGTATACCAGAGTATCATTAGGAATCATTTCATTGACTTTTTTTTTTTTTGTCAGTCATGTTTGGTTCTATCCTAGGTCTCTGGTCTCTGGAACATCCAGCCTCTGGCTGCTGGCCTTCCAGGTGTGTCAGGCATTGGCCCACTCTTGTGGCATGGGTCTCAGGTTAGATCATCGGTTGGCCACTCCCACAAGATCTGTGCCACCTGCTACCTTTATCTCAGCACATCTTGCAGGCAGGACAAACTGTGTGTAGAAGGCTTTGTGGCTGGGTTGGTGTCCCAGTCCCACAAGCCTTGCCTGGTTCCAGAAGATGGCTGGTTCAGGCTCCTTACCCCCCATCACTAGACACCTTCCCTAGGGTCACCCTCCCTCATAGATTCCAGGGAGTTTTCATTGCACTGGGTTTCTACCTCATCTCCCAAATGCCCCCCAATTCCAGTAGTCTCTCCCAGTTCTCGTTTCCTCCATCCCTCCCCCAAGCCTGATCCCTTCTGTTTCTATCCCTACCTGTCTCCTGTCCATCCAAGATGACAAAGATAATGATAATAATAGCTAAGTAACTAATTAGATAAATGAAATAAAGTTAAAAATGAAAGGTTGAAAGTTAAGGACTGACTCCCTAAAGTTATCCTCTGACTTCTACATGTGAACCATGCCTGCACACACACACACACACACACACACACACACACACACACACACACACACCTATACATACAAAACTTAGTCCAAATATTTGTTCGTGCTATTATATTTGAAGAATGCTCTATAAGTTGTTATAAAGGCTGCCAAATGGATGGCTTTTGTGTTTCTGTCAGCTATCTAGATCCTCCTTCCCCAGGTTTTAAATATACACAGAGCTAACTGGCAAACCGCCCTCCCTAAAAATAACCCTGTTCCCCTTCCCGAGAATTTATGTGCTGTGGTTGCAGAAAGACAGGGGTTCTTCAGGTTCTTGACTAACGACATTCCACAGAGACTTTGCACGACTGTCTCAAATGCAGGGCAGCAGTGGGAATGAGCATTCGTCTGGAAATCATGGCAAATTTGGTGGTCAATAACAATATCCTTTTAAAAGAACATTTTTTTTGCCAGTTGAGTATTAATGTGTCTAAAATCTTGACTTGGAAGTATGTGGCCTTTGGGACAGCCTTTGCTCCCAGTTTATGCCAGCCCTCATTACTGATGCTGAGAGAGGATGCAGGGACTCTAACTCCCGGATAGCCAGCTGCTCTTCCTAAGCACCCACTTTCTCCAGATAACATCGAGGAGGGATAAATGTGAGCCCTTTATTTTTGATAAGGAAATATGTCAAAGGTGCTTTGAAAATATGGCCCAGGAGCAGCAAGAGCAGGAAAGAATTTGGGCTGTCATCGGCAGGGCTGGGTGGAACCAGCTCATGGGCTCCATGACTATGAGCGTGCCAGGACAGATGGTTCCCTGCTGTCCAGGCTTGAAGAGCCAGGAGACATTACTAAAGCGAGGGTCCTGTAGACTTTTCCGCTCCTCTAACTCTGGTTAGATCTTGTTCTGGAAAGGGGGGTCTTTGAGGAATGGCGGCAACATTAGATGCACAGCCCTCTAACAAACTAGGTTCCTCTTTCTACAGACCTAGAGGATGGAACAAGAGTCCCTAACTGAAGTCACGCAGAAAGGCTTCCTTTTTCTATAGAGGAAGTGATTTGCTAATAGGACTTTAGTTTGGAGTAGGATCTCTTGGAGGTAGTGAATTCCTTCTAGCACAAGCTGAAGAACTTCTGAAGGTGTGCGTTCATGGGTGTGAATGTAAACACAGAATCCCTTAAGCTCTGTATTAGTGGATTGTATAATGCTGGTTATTATACCAGGCAGTGCCTTGTCTAAAACCAGGATTTGCCATTCCACCCAACAGATGTCCAGACTTTAGGTTCTACTCCAATGTGTGGTTTGTGGCTCTCTAAATTTCATATAAATTAGACTGAAATTGAGAAAGAGCTGGGACATCGGTACAGACCCGAAATATGTCTACAGATGTTAATATTCATTATCACTGGCAAACCCGGTCACTTCACTTGTTTCTTAGACTGTCCAGGAGTCCTCTGACTGGAGCCCTATAACCTCACCTCTTATTAAGAATTTTTCACAAGGGATATTCATGATTTATTGGGGTGCGTCTTTGGAAAACACAGGCTATAAGCAAGCCAACTAATGTCCCAAAAATGCCCCAACAAGGGAACGTCTTCCTTGGGTATTTGTTGATAGTTTAACTGACTGATCAACCGAGACTTTCCCTGAGGCCTGCTGCATGGGAAAGGAACAAAATTCCTTTTCTAAACCAGGAATATACTTGGCTGAGCCAGTAGTGGCTTAGGGCCAGAGCCCTGGGGGAGTTGTGTTTTTAGATCCAGAGAACCCAATTCCTCCCACAGTGTGGACCTCCTGGTTATCAGTTCCAAGGCCACTGTGTGCTTGGTGGGTAAGGTTCTTGAGATACCCTGTGTTCCTCTTGTGCAACACTTTTGATTATCTTCCTGCTGACTTTGCCCCACTTTGGGATAGCTCCTTCCGACAACCCATTTCTGCCCTGGAAAAGTATATATGATGCTTTGCTTTTTAAATAAGCTTGCACGACATAAGATGTAGCTTGTACAAAACTTCCTGATCCTAGACTTTCTTATCTTCTCTCTCTAGCCTCTTGGAACCAGAATTACAGGTGGTAGTGAGCTACCTGCTGCGGTTTCTGGGAACCGAACTCTGATCCTCTGCAACAGCTGTGTACACTCTTCATTTCTGAGCTGTCCCTCTAGCATGGGGGAGTGCTCCTGGGATCTGATGCCCTCTTCCAGATCCATGGCCACCTGCACTCACATGCATAGTTAAAAATAAATCTTATAAAGTATAAGGAGAGCTCTTTTCCCAGTCATCTACCTGCTGGGCTGCAGGCCACTGCTTAGGAGCAAGGCTATGGCCATGACACCCTTTCTATCTTTTCATTGGATTTGGTATTGTATGTGCTTCTTGATAGTTGAATATCCTTTAAAGGTAATGACTGCAAGCTGTAGAAGGGCCCATCTCTCTGAGCTGTGTTTCCAGTTCTCAGTGTGTCACTGGGCACGTCGGGAATGTGTTTCATGTTTGCCAAGAGCACAAGGCGATGAAATCCTTTTCTAGAGAATGCTATCATGGAAACAATTAGAGGCTTGCCAATGCAGATGAGGACACATTCATTTAATAATCCGGGACTGCTCTCAGACACGCAAGCGGACATCGCCGGAATCGACACGGCAACATTTCTTGGGATAAAGAGCAAAATGTAAATTCGGAACAACAAAATGGCCAAAGGAGAGGGACGTGTAAGCTGTGCATTCTCATGCAACGGGATGCTATACAACAAGCCTGCACTAAGAAGGAAAACACCCCGAATGTTTACATCTCCCAACTATAATGCTTCTATGAAAACGTAAGTAGTATCGGTATGCAATGTAGCAAATTTTATAGTGGCTAAGAAAACCTACATAAGAATACCTTAGATTACTTAAGGAACTCTCTCTCTCTCTCTCTCTCTCTCTCTCTCTCTCTCTCTCACACACACACACACACACACACACACACACACACACACACACACACACACACACTAATTGGGGAGGAGGAGAGAATAAGCATCCAATTTAAGAAGACAGTTTAGTCATGGTCGACAGTCCCAGGAAACTGGGAGAAGATTCCTTTCTCGTCTGTTGCTTACATGACATGACTTGTTTGGAATTATGTCACGCATAACAACTGTGTGGCGCATACTTAAATGGAAAGCCATGACAGTGAAAAGCAGAGAGGACAAGAGAAGAAACTGAATTCGGCCAGTTTCTACTAAAGCAGGGTTTCTTCTAGCTGTCACAAACAAAGCCAAAGTTGTCCTTTGGACCTCAGCAAGCACACGCTCACTTCCTTACTGTTTCTCTGGGAGATTCTACAAGCAAGCGTATTATAGTTTCACATTTTCATTTTGAAAGTTTTCATCAGTTCTGGGTTAATTGTTTACATTCCTGGGATTCGGCTCACACTGATGAAATCCAGCCTCCTCTTACTGGCTCCTTCCGTCTACCCAGAAGTCACGTTCTTTTTGTGTAACTTCCATATTGGCTTAAGTTGTAGCACCTATTTCTTCCGTTTCTTATTTTGCTTAGCACCATGTTGTTTAAGGAAAAACACACAATCCTCACATCTATTCCATATTCCAAGTCCAGACGTTGATTCTTAAACAAACAAACAAAAAAACTTATTAGACACAAAGATCATCCCGGAAATGTAAGTCTCGGGTGGTGCTTCTGGCAAGGCACAGGGCTTGGCACCTGCTCACCTTAACTCTATGAGCTTGGGACAGCTCACAGAAAACACTAACTTTGTGATTTTTTTTTTTTTGAGTGTCCCACTGTCCCTAACTCCACAAAGAACACTTAAGAATGCCCGACTAAGAAGCTGGTGGGCTGATTGCATTTGCTGTCTTTTTTCCTCTTATCAGTTCCCAGTGTGTGTGTTGGGGTGTCCCCAGTGCCTTGGGACAACAGGTGCCGGTGAGCAGCGCTTTAAGGCGAGTTTAGACAGGAGCAGTGCTCAACCTGTGGGAAGTCTGCTTTACAGAACTTCTAGCACGACGTCAGAGGGTTCATGCCATTCCACAGAAGCCATGTGGAACGGCTTCTACTTCTGGGATAGTCCTTATTAGGGCAGTGCTGCGCATGTGAGAACCACTCAAATGGGGTTGGAAAGAAAAGCTTTTCTTTTTTCTCTTTTTTCTTTCTAGCGACCATCTGGAGCAGATTTAAGCCAACATTCCTGATAGATGAACGTGTTAGCTTGGAACAAGGCAATAAAACGACTGAACATCTCTCTAGGGCTGGGTTCTTTCTGTCCTGCTCCACTTCGGAAAGGTGAGTCTGCTCCGCCCGAGGCGGAGAGGTGATGCCCGGGTTGCGGAATATGGCGACAGACCACGATCGGGTCCCTGAAGGGGTTCCGGCTCTGCTCCAAGAGGTCCTGCGCTCTGCGACCCCATAGGCAGGTGGAGTGCCCTTCCCTCCCCCTCACCCCCTCCCGCACGCCTCTTGGGGCAAAGCCCGCGATCCTATTGGGGCGATGTGGCGACTGTCCCCGCCCAGGGGACTGAACGTGGACTAGGGTCTTCAGGCTTGGGTCATTCTCTCCGCTTCCTACCCGCCCAGCCCAGGTGGACCTGCGATCACGGCTTAGCCAGCGGGACTCTGGGGTTTCCGGAAAGCTCCGCGGACACAGGCGGATCCCAGGCTTACGCTGGGCGGGTTCACAGCTTGCGCTCGCTGCCGTGGGATGGCTCTAAGTGGCCGAACGATGCCACTAAATCTCCCACCAGTTGCCTCCACAGGCCAGTCTGAGTTTCCTGAATTCTGAAAGCTGGCACAGAAAAGTGCTATGGAATGAGGGTGGGGACAGGCCCGCCTGGAGGGCTGGGTTCTCAGAAATCTGAGCTTTGATGTTTGTGGAAAGGTGTGCCCAGCACAGCTGCACCCCTTATTTCTCCCATCCTCTTCTTTTCCCCCTGTAGCCCCAAATGGGAATGCTGTCCTTGATGCTCTGTGGGATGTCTTTCGCGCTTCCCCTTTTTGTGAAAGCAGGTACGTTCTGTGAGTCCTTGGGTCCCAGAGGCCTGTCAACTTGTGGGCAACATTCTTTGTCACTGTCTCCAGGCCTCTGACCTACCTTCAGGGCATCAGCTAAGCCACAGCCTTGCTAATCACTCTTCCCCCCCAGATAATCTGGTAGGGAGAGTCCAAAAAATCGGGTAGAAAAAGTTCATTTCCAAGTTCTTGGAGGCTCAATCCCAAATGTCACCCTGGAACCTTGGACTAACTTAGGTGATATGGAGAAGTCCTCAAATATTTGTGGACCCAATTCCAATGCTTACGAGGGTGGATTACTAGTGGCGTCTATTTCATATAGAGGGTTATTTTATAGTAAAAAGTTACCAGAGACAGAACAAATATCTAAGAAAAACTAACTAGGTAGAAATGGGCTTTTAAGAAAGGTGTCTTTAAAACCGTCCTCTGTGGGATGAGGATGGCACTTATTCAAGTCAGTAACAGACTGAAAGAAAGTACAGGAAGAAAAAATGACTGGGGGGGGAGGGGGCTGGTGCTGTAGGGAGGAGGATGGATAACCAAGGGTGGAAGAATAAAGGCAAAGGGAAGCCGTGGTTTTGTGGAGGGGCTTGAGGAAGGCCTGTCTTCGTGATACATTTGAAGGCCTTAACATTCTGTTTCTAAACATCTGGGTGAGTTTTTGGGAAACTCCCAAATGAAAATTCACATTTACCCAGAACAAGATGTTTTCTAAAATGAATCACGACACCAGTTTTCTTTTATGGTATTTCTTCTGCATTCCTTTCTTTTCTCAGGCACATGTAAGGATGTGGATATGCACCCTGAGGTCATTTCAGAGGGGCGGCCTTTTGCTTTCAATTGTACATACCCTTCAGTAACAAATGGAGCAGTCAATGTGACATGGCACAAAATACCCAACCAAAGCCCAGTATCCAAAAACAGACAGTTTAGGAATCACCAGGACCGGACCTGGATTTTGTTCCTTCCCTTGGAAGAGGGGGACTCGGGCATCTACCAGTGTGTTATCCGGTGAGTCCCTCATCGAAAGGAGAACCAATTCACAAGCTTCTCTCTCCATTTCCATCTACATCCATTAAGAAAGTGGGTATCATTAACCTTTGTTTCTGAGACATGTTAAATAGCCTAGACCAGTTTCCAACTTACCTAAGCCCCTAAAAGAACTAAAATGACAGATGCCAGCCACCACAACCCACAAGAATATGTACCCAGGCAAAGTACATTGAGGCAAAAATGCAGGATGACTTCCAACTCCCAGCGAGCACATTTGAAAGCAGAACAGATTTATGGATCAGTTTTGGAGCGCAAGTGGCATCAGCTCATTGAAATGATGTTTCAAGCCAGCCCCGTTTATAATGTGTGCTTGTATCAACACTATCGCTGTATTGCCTCAGAGTGCTGGATGTTTCAGGACAACTGGCAGATCCAGATCACAACGCACCCCCTTCAAAAACTTTTTGTAAGGAACCTGCTTAAAGCTGGCATTCAAAACGCAGAAAGCCTGAGAGATGTCAATGAAACCCACCAGTAAACCACATTTGGCCAGAGAGGTCTAATTCTGTGACTCCCACGAGAGCTTGCTTGACCACAACAAACTAAGCTATCTCTCCAAACCTTGGGTTTCCCGCCTGTAGATTGGGCATGCTCCATGTGCCTTTCTTTAATCTCCGCTAATCTGATCACCACACCGTTGTCATTTTTAAAGACCACAGACGGTCATTTTATATCTCCCCATTCCTCTGATTTATCAGATGCTTCTTCGTGAGTGTAGGTGACTTTGGGGGCTGCAATTGAGTGCATGCAGTGTGAACATTGTCTAAGACTTTTCAAAGTAACGGTGCCAGAGACCCATGGTGTTCACTGGCCCCTCCTGGGCCACACTGAATGTGATGCCACTGTTGGTACTGCACAAACACCCCTTATCCTTGGGTAATGCATGGCTTGTGGGCTATTGTTATTTCATATGATGTCTAGAAAGTAATTAGAAAGGATATGAAAACGACTTATCATAACGGAGATTCCCTAAGAATTCTTTGGTTCAACCTGCTATTTTCTTATAGGGATGGCCACAGCTGTTACCGAATAGCTGTAAACCTAACCGTTTTTAGAAAACATTGGTGTGATTCTTCTACGGAGAGTCGGATAAGTCCACCGAATGAATATCAACAATTCTTACCCATGGGAAAATCGGGCAGTCTGACGTGCTATCTCGACTTCCCAGACAGTTGTGTTTTGGATTCAATAAAGTGGTATAAGGTAAAAAAACAAACAAACCAAAGAGCAACAACAGCAAAAAACCTCTACTGGTGCTATTTTCTTCTCTTCTATAAAACCCACTTTCTTTTTGAGGGAAAATTGAATCCTGCTGGACATACTTGGTATTTTGTATGTCTAAGTCAACAAGTGGTAGTGGCTCTGATAATTATTTTAAACTTATGGTTGTTATTGTTTTGTAATACTGTTCTAGCTTCCCTGTATCCCCAATTATCCATTTTTCAGGCTCTTCTTGCTATCTTTTCTCACTCACATTGGTTTGTTTGAATGACTCTGATGTCCTGGTGCTTTGACAATTATGAATTATATAAAATCACACCTAAGAAACACTCCTGCCATCCCTGCTCCATGTTGCTGACCACAGAGGGCCCCAGAAGCTGGCTGCCACTATCAGTGCCTGCCGTAGCCTCGTATAATGCTGTATTTGGAAGTTAGCAGTTATATCTTAGCTGCTCCCCGTTGAAATGTGATGTTTCTCATGCGCATCTTCATCTTGCTTTCACTCCAACCTTGGCTTTGTCTTGGCAGATGAGCTACGGTTTGACACGGGAGCTCAGGTCCTTGGCTTGCTTCTTAGTCCCCAGTCCAGCCACTTGGCTCCTGAGCTTTCTTTATGGGTTTTCATCTGTTGATGTTGATTCCCTCCTCTTGTTTGTTCTGTGGTGACAGGATTATTCAAACATCTTATTTTTCTCTTTTCTGGATTTTGGTAGGATTTTTTTTTTTTTTTTTTTTTTTAGGGAACAGCATATTTCATTGAAGGTCTCATCAATACTGGCAGATTAGTTATCTCTTTTCTCTGTTGTCTGCTTCAGCGGTGGAGATATTTTAGTTCTCACTCCAGGGCCTAGTCTCACTCTCAGCCTTTCTCTCCTTAACCAGGTGCAACCACCTTTACACATTGAGGTTTGTCTTTCAAAGCAGAGCCGTTTGTCCTTTCAGAAAGCCTCCTTGGCCTTTTGTGTGTCTACTCTGTCATGCTTTAAATTCACCTAGGCTCTTTACCTCCTCGTGTGGAACGTGGAAATGAATGTTCTCACCCCTGTCTTATGCCCCTTTGACAGTGTGACATTCTCTGGGGCGCTTGATCACTGCCCCTCGAGCCGCTTTGTCACTGAGCGCCCTGCTCTTTGGAGCGTTTGCTTTTCAGAATGTGACAGGCTGCCCTATTCTGTCTTTACTACATTTCCTGATGACTGATAGTGCCTGTTCCTCTTGAGTTTTCTTGTTATAATTGAATATGCATGTGATGTAGCGTGGTGGTGGTGGTGGTAGCGTGGTGGTGGTGGTGGTGATGGTGTGTGTGTGTATGTGTACCCGCTATCGCTATGACATGAATGTTAAGTCAAGACAACTGATGGTGCTCAGTTCTCACCCTTCACCGTGTAAGTCCTGAGGATTGAGCTCGTGTCCGTAGGCTTGGATGTAAGCAGCTTTACTGATAAGTCAGGTCATCAGTCCTTCATTGAGTTTTTCCTTCAAGTGCATAGTGTTAGCTGGGTCCATCCCCCTATGACACACCTCCTGCAACAAGGCCACACCTCCCAATCTTTCTCAACTATAATTCCATCACTGGGGACCATGCATTCAAGCGTATGAGCTTATAGGGGCTCTTTTTATTTAAGCCACCACAAATGACAAGATCACTTTGGGGATCTTACCGTAATCTTCCATTCCTGGAGTCCCTCAGCATGGCGTGTAAACACCATCACATTTAACGTTTTGCTTTTGTAACACGCATGCTGCTGTTCTGGGCTCTTGTTGCCTGTGTTATAGCTAGGTCAGATTTTAATACACGGACAGATTAGATTTGTAAAGTCAATAGAGTGAAATTTCAGTTTTCTTTACCCTAGAAATGCCTCAGATTTCTAGAAGAGTCTAGACGGTAACAAACCCATTAGCTCCTCTGTTACACACACGTGGACACTCGTAGTGACATCACGCAGGACTTGGACTTCCTCTGACGACAAGTTTGGAGTGTCTTATGCAGCTGTCTTTAATAGCTAAAGAACGATTCATCCTATAATGCTATGTTCAGTTAGAAATTTTGATTTTGATATGTTAAGATGATACTACTAAAAAATACTTCTATGTTCTTTTCAGTGTTCATAGAACCTAATTTCTCATGTCTGGTAGCCCCACTTTCTTCATTTGTGTTCGTTACTCTTGCCAGGAGTTCGTCAGTTTTATAGATGTTTTCAAATCCTAACTGCATTCCTTATATTTCTGCTCTTATTAGTTTGTTCTCTGTTGATGTCATCAAATTCCTAGTTCTCCCCACGACTTTATTTGATTGTGGTTTTATTCTGCTATTACGTTCTGAACACCTTGAGATACTCATCTGTCATTAAGCGCGGGTTTCTAACACACAGATTGACGGGGTGCCTTCCTTCGAAACTGCATCTCGGTCGACTTCTGCAGGTTTTCATCTCTCGTTCTCAGACCACCCCGCTCAGACTATCCCATTTTCCCTGTGATTTCTTCTTTGGTTCGAGATGTTTTTGAAGGGTTGCTTAATTCTCAAATGTCACAGTTTGGGTATTTTTCAAGGTAATATTTCTGATTTGGGGGCAGAGTAGTACAACAGAGGGTATGTTCTATGTAATTTCAGAACTGTGGGATGAAAGGCTGGCTTTTTGGGCCAGCATATGTTCAGCTTCTGCCCATGTTTCTTATGTATTGAAGAGAACACAAACGCTGACATTGGAGCTCGTGGGGTTGAGTTATGCAAGTCAGTGTGTTTATTCTTCCTCCATTCTCTTGTAGTTTAACTAAGACTTGTTAACACAACTTAGTGGAATTATTGATTTTGCTAGACTTTCGACTTTATTAATGTTTGTGCTAAACTTTTGCGATATTATTTACAGAAATATGTTACGCTGCTTGGCTTCCTGCTGCAGCGAGATTCTGCCGTGTGCCCTTTTTTCTTGCGATTTGCCTCCCTTTGGTGCTAATACAATAGCAGCAGGTTTTGTGTGGTAGCTGGTGGGATGCTCGCTCTCTTGTATACTTCTTTTGTATTTGTTTACTGTTAGGCCATGATTATTTTAAGTAGCAGGTGTCTAGGCCTCTAAAAGCTCTAGGCTGGATTTTTACTCCTTATGTGTTCTGTGATTCTTCATATGCTACCTTTGAACCCCCGATGTTGGTAGTTTTCATTTACCATTCTGGTTTAAAAATTATTCCCTTTCTTCTTATTTTTTTAAACTCAAGCATTTGTTATTCATCTTTATTTTTTAAGAATTTCCTAGTGGATATCTTCAATAATTATTGGTTGGTTACTTCATCTACAGTCAGCCTTGAATTATTGCTCGGTATGAAATAGTATTTTAATCACCTTCTGAGGAAATGAATGACTGCCAATATTTAACCCCTCTCTAGAAGAGTTTTGGCTTATATGCTACCGTAGCTTCTGCTTTTAATTTCCTGGTCATTTAAACAGCAATGCTATACCTAATCAATATTCTTCTAGAATTTCTCCACACATTGAATTTTCTCTTCATGTTGAGTCTAATCAGTATCTTTGAGCTCGTGTGATCTCTGGAATCATTTTTCAAAGATTTCTTTATTTTTCATTTCTGTGTGTCAGGATTTTGACTGTATGTATGTATACCACCTTCAGTGACCATAGAGACCAGAAGAGGGCATCATTTCCTCTGGAACTGCAGCTACAAATGATGTGTGTATTCACCTTCAGGAGCTGGGAACTGAACCAGGTCCCCCTAAAGAGCCACAGGTGGTCTTAACCCTTACACAGAGCTGTGTCTCCAACCCCTAGGATAATTATTTATAATATATAAGTATCCAGCTAACATCTCATGAATTTTCTTAGTGTGAGTTATCTCATTTTCTGAAAATGTTCTTTTAATATTATTATTATTATATTCTTCATGGGTTGGCATTTATTTTCACTCTGCAGCTTGAGCATATTATTCAATGGTTTATGAATACAGTATTCTTCACACTCCATGGACAGGGTCACCTTTTTTAAGTGATAGGCCTCAATCTCTGAATTCCTTGGAAATGTTCTCCTTGATTTTGGAGTTTAGCAGTGCGACTCTGGGGAGCTGAGACAGAGATTGCTCATCTCTTCGACACACGCCTTTTGAAATTATAGCTATTATGCGTCTCCTCCATTGTTTCTTAGTTGCTAGTTCCGTCAGTAGTCTCTACACTTACTTCCTGTCTGTCTCCTTTGGGACTGTAACTAGATGTATGTTTAACCCTTTTGTTTTCAATGTGCTTTTCTACGTCCCGCGTGCATTTTCCTGTTCTCAGTTGCTTTGTGTGAACGTGCCTCCGTGGGCAAGTCTTCCTGGCGTGCTCCCTAGAACGCTCCATTTATTCTCGGGTGTGTGAAACCTTCCATGGACCTCACCAGCTCGCTTCTGCGTAGCTATTGTCATTTTCAATTCCCTATACGATGCTTTTCTTTTTCCATTTTGCATGTGTGTGGGTGCACAGGGGCAGGCGTGCAATTGTGTGCAGGGTGTTGGTGGCCAAGATGCATCCTCCTCCGCTCTTCTACGGGAGTCAATGAGGGAGGGTCTTTTAATCAAACCCGGCACTTACCTATGTGGCTAACCTTGCTAGTGAGCCGCCTGGGAAAGATTCCCTGTCTGGAATGACAGGCCACGGTGGCCACACCCACCTGGCAAGTAGATGGCTTTCTGGCTCTGAAGCTTACGTAGCGAGCGCTCTAACTACTGATCCAGCTACGCAGCCCCAACTCGGTGATTTTGTATTTGCCTTTTTTCATATGTGGCTAAGCTCCTCAATGCCGCTGTTAGATCAGTCAAATTAAATACCTCTACTCTGAGGTCTCTGTCTGGTAATTTTATTACTGGCTTTCCTTCGTGTTTTCTACTTCTCTTCATTCAGATCAAGTGCAGGCCATGGAACTTCCCTGTTTCAAATTTAAACTGCACTCCTGGCTTTTGCTTTCTTCTTGCTGTCTTGTATTTCTGCCTTGCTTTGGCAACAGTATTCTAACAGCTTCCTGATCTTCAGGAATGGCTCACTGGACCCCTCAGAAACCGATGTTACCGTCTTCTTCTCCTGCCAGCAGCATTTCAGCTAGTCTTTCTTTTGCCATCACTTTCGGTGATCAGATTCCTACCCCTCCGAATTTATCTTCGCAGACTTTTATATTCAGAGCATATTAGTTAGACTATTATGGGACATTTGGCATCCTTGAAGTATTGCACTTGCTGAGCCAGGAGTAGAAAGTGCATTTGCATGCATGTTGGTCAATTTTGTATTTTCATAGTTAACATTATCCTATAAAGTATGACTAGATAGGAAGGACTTCTACATTACATGACCCCCTCGAGCTTAGATTATTTACAACCTGCATTAAAGATGACCTCAGAGGTGGTAAGATGTGTTGCTGTCAAATAAGGGAGGGAAAATTCAGCACCTTACCATTGGATTAGTGTGACCAAGAGCAAATCCAGCTTTGAATTCCCTTTTCTCCCTGTGTCTTCTGTCTGGCTTTGTGGTTTTGGTGTTGTCGTTAGTCTGTTTGTTGTTGAGTCTGAATCTGTCCTTGTGTCTGTGCCTATCTATGCCTGGTTGATGTCTTTCTGTCTCTTGCTGTCTGTCTCCAACAAAGGCCCTTACTCTGTATTGATTGAACACGTGGGAAAGGAGGATGGATACTTAACAAGAATCCTTATCAGTTTTACAAGGGATTAGGTCACTGACTCCAGCTCACCCCAGAGGACTCAGCACTGCTGGCGTTCATTCCATTATCAACTTGTGCCTGCTGCGTGCTGCTTCCAGTGTTTATGCTAAGTATTTATTGTAGAAGACCTCTTTACACACTTCCAGCATTTGCTACCATGACATGCATACATGCATGCATTCCTCTCTGGGCCAGGGGTGTGGAAGAACGCATAATCTGAAATTACAACTATGCATTAGCTTATGTTGTAAAAGCTGAAACATGGGAAAACCAAGGCAAGTAAGGTTGGTTGTTACATTGTTCTGGGGAAAAGGCACTGTTAGTCACTGTAATGGGACAAGAGGACCCCTCACACAGCCAGGTTAAGGGTTAAAGTGAATGATGGAAGAAAGAATGACTCAGAAGGCAAAGTGCTCGACCATGAAGCCCAGCGCAGATTTTGCCTAGTCGGGGACTCTCCAGCTAAGTCTACACAGGAAAGAGATTTTTGAAGTCCAAGCATTCAAAATTTGTGACTCTGTACTCTGAAAAAGTAGACCACAAAATTCACATAACAGCAAACTAAAGACAAGCCCCAAACCACAACCTACAGGCAGAAGACACAGGGAGAGAAGAGGAGAATTCAAACTTGAGTTTGTTCTTGGTCAAATTAATCCACGGGTAATTGTTAAAATTTTTTCATTAATATAACACTGATACATTTCAGTGCTTCTGAGGTTAGCTTTAATGTGTCTAATAGATGTAGGTTATCAATAATCTAAGCTCTATGGGACCATTTAAAGGGGGGTGTCTTATTCCCTGGCCCCATTTTATAGGATATTATTAACTATGAAAACACCCAGCATCCCCCAACACTCATTCGAATGCCTTTTGTTTCAAGGTACCAATTGTATTATGAGGGGCCGTTGCTTTTATTTATCCAGTCCCTAATAGTCGCTCCCATCTATCAGTGAACAATTGTCAAATGACAACTGGGATTTCCTTACGGAGTATCTATTGGAGCAATGTAAGAAATCTAGGAAGAGATGTAAATAAGCGTATGCTTATTCTGACATTATTTATTGAATTTTAGATGCAAAATAGATTCATTTTCCTTGTTGGGTGGAAAATAAGGACGGACTCATCTGTGGCTGGTTACGTCTGGAGAGAATGTAACACCAAGTTGCTTACATTTTTATTGAACTAGGATTTTATCTATTTTATCTGTTAGACTGTGAGCTTCATGAGGACTGTAGCTGTGTCTAATTCCCCCATGGCTGAAATCTCTCACAGTGCTGGCAAAGATAGAAACTCAAATATTTGAGTAAAATAATGGACTCAATTAGACAACAACCTCTCTGTGGAGTGGGGCTTCTCAAAGGAAGGGGAACAGGCCTGGGCAAGAGTCCGGAAGTGGGTTCATGAGATGAAGGTGATTAACTTGATGAAGTCAGGTTTTGGGAGCAGGAAAGGCAGCTGCCTTGGTAAGATGTTTATCTTAAAAACAGGAGGCTCTTGGTTTGATCCTCATAAACACGTGTAAAAAAGCTGGAGTTGGTGCTGTACCAGAGACTGGCAGATTCCTGGGGTTTGTTGGCTAGCCAGTTAAGTCGGTGACTGTCTCCAAAAACAAGGTGGACAGCAGCACAAGGAAGATCTCTCTCTCTCTCTCTCTCTCTCTCTCTCTCTCTCTCTCTCTCTC